TAATTTTTTTAAATAATAAAATTAATGAATAGTAAAGATAGAAAAAGTGAAAAAAAAATAAAGAGAAAAAAAAATAGAGAAACCCCACTTCCGTTAACATCATATGGATGGAAGGTGCTGGGCACTGTCATTTTATTATTAATTAATGATTTATTCTGTATCATTTCAATGTTAGATGCTTTTCAGAAAACGATTCATTGCTCAATTTGCACATTTAACCTAAAAAATAAATAAATATTTTCTATTAACTAAATAACTTTCATGTGATGTATAAAATAATTTTTTGTCTTTTGTCAATAAAATTTAACCGGGCAATAACATAGTAGAGTATTTTAAATATATTCTTTCAGTTTAAAAATATAATATATTTTTTGAGAGGTTTAATGTAAAAAATGTAATTTTTAAGGTGTAATTATTACATTTTTTTTAAAGTGTCCTATTAAATAAGTCACTTTATATTTATTTTAGGTTAAAACACTCTATTAAAGATGAAAAGATATGGTTAATTTAAAAATAAGTAACTACTTTATTAGATGGTAAAATTTTATTAAAAATACTTTATATTTTTTAACGGAGTGATTAACAAAATTTATTTTTAAGGGAAAATTCAATTATAGATCTAAAAAATAAAAAAAATCATTCCCAAATCACACACAATAACATAATTAAGAAAAGATATCTTAAACTCACCAAATTTCTCTAAGGTTTTAAGACCTTTCATTTTCAGGTTAAAAAAAGGCCTTCCACTGTAAATAAGTTTAATGTACATTTACCAAATGTTTTTATTTGAAGACATTTTAGTAAATATACATTAAAATTATTTATAATTATTAAAAACTACAAGATTTCACAGTAATTTGATGATTTTAATATTTCTTTTATTTGTGTTGTTGTGTGGTACCTTAGGGGAGTTTTCTTTAATTAAATTAAAAAGAATTGCCTTATGATTTCAAACTTTCAATGAAGTGAAACGTGGAGCATGACATGGTGAAAAGGAAAAGCGGCTTCATGAAGTTTTGAAATTTTATTATTAGTTTTTTCTAAACAAAAATAAACTATATATATATATATATATATATCATTAATATAATAAAGCTTGAGTACACAAATCTCATGGGAGTTTATAGTGTGAATAATAGAAGAAGTAGATGGGAGGGAGCAGAGCATCCGAATTGGCTCCCTACCTCTGAATGAAAATCGTGGGACTTGATTCAAAATCAGATCCAAAAGTTGAGTTCTGTGTCTGATGTCTCCAAGAGTGGTGATGGAGTGAGAGCCTTCACCAATCACCAGTAGTCGGAAAGAGGCAAATCAGAAGATGCATAGACTACAGAGAGAGATAAGAGTACAAATAAATAAAGATGATCAACATTGAAAGGGAACGAGCATTTCCTCCCATGAAAGACACTGGCAAGGACTCGTCAGGCGTTTCAATCTGATCGCGATCAAGTGTTCTTTTGTTCATTAGGAAATCGTGTCGCCCATTGCCTCACCTTTCGTACAGTAATTCCATTCCCAGGCCTTGTTCCTGTCTTACCACTGCTACTACCACTACTAATCACCACACTAATAATAATAATAAATAGTGACAAAAAAGCAGATTAAATTAAATAAATTAATACTATTTTTTCTCCATCTTTTTCATATATGCTTCCGTCTCTACGTCTAGAGTGTTACTATTGGGGATATTATGAATATTAAATAGTTTGACTCATCTGTGTAACCATTTCTCAAATTGGGTCTTTTAGGCTTCCAAATTCCAATCATAACTTCTTAATATGATTACATGATAATTCTTTTAATTCTTCTAATATAATGAAGGAGTGGTGAAGGCTGGATGATGAGGGCGATCTTTACCTGATGTGGTATGAAAAATAGAAAGAAAGAAAAATACAAAGAAGTTTAAATAAAAGTACAACAATTATATTTTTTTTGATAAAATAATAATACCCACATTTAAAAATAAACTAAAAATAAACATTACATGGTTGGTTATAAATTTAAAATGGGTATCCATGATTAGGCAAAAATTTGAAAATAAGAAGGGTATTTTTTAATGCCTGTGAATAATATTGTTTCTGTGGTTTTTGTATTTTATATTGAATAATATATATATATATATATATATTGTCGTTTATATAATGAAAGAAGACGGAGAGATCCAAAGGAGACTATACAGTTACAAGCCACGACACTGGCATGAGACCAATTGTAGCTGTGATAAATTATAAATGATAATCAACCTCCTTTTTTTTAAAAAAAAAAATGGAAGGGCACCAAAAAAACCGCGTTCGGTGACAACATTTGGGCTATTGATATGAAAAAATATCTTGTGTCAGTGTATAAAAGATTTTCACAATCAAAAGGTTGAGTATAAAAAGTGTGACCATTTGGACTATCCAGATGAGCCAATCAACTTATATACTTATTTATTTTTTAAAACTGTGATAAAAAATAATCATTTAGTTTTTCATAATTTTTGATTTTATTAATAGTTATAATTAGAAAATGATTTGAGGAAATTCATTGTGCATTAATATGAAAGCTTTTATAAAATTAGAGTAAACATTAAATTTATTAAATTTTACAACTCAATAAATATTAAGTCTTTTTAAAATATTCATAAACTCTATACTGTCCTACTATTTAAAATATTTGAAAATTTTTTTAATTTAATTGTTTTTTTTTATCTCACATGAGACGGTCACAGGAAGTCGCACAATAATCAACCATTAAAAACTTGTTATGTGCCGTGTCGAGCTCGCCTAAAATAAAATAAAATATATACTATGATGGGGCCATCATGTCGGTTTCAAGGACCCTACATGGAAATGGTACACAAATGAAATGACACCAACTGGAAAACTTCCAATAACTTTATCACTCAAGGATCACTATGAAAAGTTTATATTAATCAATGAAGTTAAGGATTTTACAGCAGCTTCTTGATTATATTCTTACTTTCTTTGCTAAAATTAATTTTTTATATGAAATGAATGAATTATCTTAAAATTTAAAATTTAAAACAAGTCACCCGTGTTATCACCGGCCCTGACCATCAAACGGTCGTCAAAAATTAGCAGCAAGATCACTAGAGCCTTGGCACTAATGACACTTTTATTTGAGAATAATTAATAAAGATAATTAAAAGAGGGTTTAATTTCATAACACTTTAACTATTTAAAAAACTTAGTGAATATCAAACTACCAAATCCATTTAATTATATATGACAATATATATACATGTAGAAACTCAAACTTCTAAACTACTTATATGTTATAATATAATGATATGTTGTTAAATCATGAACAATGTTTGTTATTTTACTAATGTTACTTATCAATTTGACATGATCAATTAAAAATTAAAAGTTTTAAAATTTTCTGCATTTTAATTGTTAAAAGTTCAAATGCATTGTTATTAATTACGAATAGATTGTTATCAAAACTCAAATAAATACTAATTGATGAAGGACTAACACGTAATATTAAACACATCTTATTAGTTTTTCTAACTTATTAAAAACTAAATGGATTGTTATTAATTTTGAATGAGAGTTTGTTAAAACTTAAATAGATACTTGTTGATGAAGGATAAACACTTATACAATTAAACACATCTTGTTTATTTTTTTAACTTGTAAAAACCCAAGTGGATTATATAATTTCAAATGAATTGTTGTCAAAACCAAAATGCATACTTGTTGATGAAGGATTAACATATACAATTATGCCCATCTTATTTATTTTTTTAATTTGTTAAAGTATGAATGGATTGTTATTAATTTTAAATGAGTTATTATTAAAATCTGAATAAATTAAATACTTGTAAATGAAATACTAACACATACAATTATATCTATCCTATCATTTTTTCTAACTTGTTAAAATTTAAATGGATTGTTGTTAATTTTGAATGAGTTGTTGTTAAAAATAGAATGGATATTTGTTAATAAATGACTAACATGTACAATTATACACATCCTATTTATTTTTCTAACTTGTTAACCCAAATGGGTTCTTGTTAATTTCAAATGCATTATTGTCAAAGGCTTAATGGATACTTGATGTTGATGATTGAAAGCATGGGTCTAATGAAACAAGTGTATAAACAATAAATCATTTAGGTTTTGACAATAACATATTTAAAATTAATAACAATCCATTTGGACTTTAACAAATTAGAAAGCGGATAGGATGTGTTTAATTATACAAATATTAGCCTTTTATCAATAAATATCCATTTGGAATTTAACAAACTTTCATTCAAAATTAACAACAATCCATTCGAGTTTTAACAAGTTAAAAAAATGATAGGATGAAATTAATCCGACATGTTAGTCATTTATTAACAAGTATTTATGCATTCAGGTTTTGACAATTCATTTGTAGTTAACAATACATTTAAATTTTTAACAAGTAAAACAGATGAAGTTTTAAAGCTCCCAATTTATAATTGACCATATCAAATTAACAAATAACATTAGTAAAATAACAATGTCATTCATGAATTAACAATACACTATTATGTTATAACAGGAAAGTGATTTAAAAGTTTGAGTTACTACATATGTATTTTTTTATCATATATAATTAAATGGGTTTGGTGAATTGTGGCTATCAATTTTTTAAAGTGGCCAAGAGATTATAGGATCAAACTCCCCTTCGCCATCTTTAACAATTATCCCTAAATAAAGGTGTCACTAGTGTCGGAACTCTAGTGATCAGTGGTCCAGTGGTTGATGGCAGTGACGATAGGGATTAGTTTAATTTATTTTATCATTTTAGACTTGAAGGGAAATTCTGTCCTTTTATGTAAAAAATTAAATTTTAGCTAGGGACCAACGGATTACCTTGAAATTTCCGAATCTTACGGTTTTAGATTGATATAAACTTTCCACGGTGTTCCTTTGAGTGAGATTTTCCCTAATAACTTTCTTTCAAACTAATAAAGCAGCTATTAATTATAAGAAGAGCTGCTGGTAAAAAAAATTATGAGAGACAGAGACAAGTATGCTATTTTTTTATTATTTTCAATAAGGTTTACATATAACCCAGTAAATCTTGTCAGTTCGATGCACAAATTTTACCCCGCAAATCCTTAAAAGCGCCAAACGAATTCAGACACATTAATCTTAGATAGTTTAGTGCGCACATTATTGTACAAACCTAGCTAGAATAGATGCTAATATAATTGCAGCCTAGATAATCCGTTGCCCTTGATTAATTTTCAGCTGAAAGGGAACCATTTTCTTTCACCCCACCGGATTTTCTATTGTTTTCGTCCTCTTGCTTCTCCTTGACCTCTTCCTCTGCCTTCTTCTTTGCTTCTTCCTCTGCCTTCTTCTTGGCTTCCAGCTTGGTCGTTTCAAGTGATTCAACTAGCCTCTCCAAACAAGTCTCCACGTCTTCCTCCATTGATTTTGGCATCAGATTCTCAGCAACATCAGCAGGTGTCATCTCTGTCTCTCGAAACAATTCCTCAATTCTTGGGTACAAATGGTGGGGGGTCTCGATATCCAAGTAATTCCTGGCGAGCACCTTGAATGCTTCGTAGCAGCAGTAAGATAACTCAATGTGCTTATCCATGCGTCCTCTCCTGATAAGAGCAGGGTCAAGTTTGTCCACATAATTAGTCGTGAACACGATCACCCTCTCTCCTCCGCAAGCCGACCAAATCCCGTCGATAACATTCAACAGTCCCGACAGCGTCACCTTACTCTCCTTGTCCTCGTCTTCATCTAAAGCCTTCTTCACTGGATCTTTGGATCCCTCCTCCTCTTTCTTCTTCTTCTTCCTCTGCCGGGTAAGATCGAGAGAGCAATCGATGTCTTCGATGACCACGATCGATTTACTAGTAGTTTCTATCAACAGCTTCCTGAGCTCTGCGTTCTCCTTCACGGCGGTCAACTCCAGATCATAGATATCGTAGTTCAGGAAATTAGCCATGGCCGCGATCATAGTTGACTTACCTGTTCCCGGAGGACCGTAGAGCAAATACCCACGCTTCCAAGCCTTTCCGATCTTGGCATAGTACTCCTTTCCTTTCTGAAACATAACGAGGTCCTTTATGATGTCTTCCTTCATCTTGGGGTCCAACGCCAGGGTATCGAAGCTCGCCGGATGCTCGAAAACGACATGGCTCCACTTGGTTCTCTTCCAACCGTACCAACTACCGCTCGGATTGTTGGTGTACAGCTTGAGCTGCCGGTTCCTAGTGGCGATGGCCTTCCCTTCATCCAACACATGCTTAACGTAGGAACGAGTGACGACGTCTCTGTGACGCTTGTGGAAGGTAAGCTTGTAGAAATGCTTCTCGTCGGAAGAAGGATAAAACGAGAAGGACTGATTCTTGATGTCGTGTTTATGAGCAGCCCACCATAGTTTGGCCCCCTGAAACTCGTCGGTGATTTCTTCGTTGTCATCCATGCTAAGCACCAGTGGGGTCTGGCTGTCTTTGACGACTTCAGCTTTGAGCCTGGAGACTCGTTCCGAGGAGTTAGCGCTCAGATAGGTCTGGATGGCAGTGAAAGCTTCGCTGCGCTTCATACGTTCGCCTTCAAACTCAGGGAATTTGATGGAGATATAGGGAGAGATGAGGGAGGTGAGTTTTCTGGTGTAGGTTTTGAGATAGTCACGAAGAGGAGGAGGGAAGAACCTATCAAACATGGCGTAGAGGAACATGACGGTGGCCGTGATGGAGCCCAGTTGTGACCACATCGTCGCATGCATCTCCATTGTTGATGATCTACTCAGGAGCCAACAACGATGGTTGCTAGCTGCTGGTGGATTTGAATTGAGACTCTGCTGCTGCGTGGATATTTATAAAGACGCCATAGATGATAGCAGAAACGCTTGGTAGTTGCCCACCCCTGGATTTCCGGCGAGTTTCGTCCACTAAGTGACTTCATATATTTCTTATTTGTTTAATTATCTTTCAAATTGGTAATACTTGCTAAGCTCCAATGAAATACTCCTAATATGAAAGTTTACAAAATGTTACCAAAACGATAAAGTTTACAAAAATGTATTTTCAATATTTAATTTTGTACGGTATTTCATTTTAATTCTTTAATTATTATAGATCGTCGTTTTAGTTTTATAACTCTAACTTCGTTTTTTTTTTTGGGGGTAAAATAACTCTAACTTTGTTAATTTCAGTAACAAAATCAGACTAATATTAAATTTTTAAATGTTCATTGACAAGATATTATTAAACATTAATATATTAAATTTAATTTATTTTAAAATAACGATAATTGATAAAAAAATTATCATTTAAAATTAATAGTGTTAATAGATGATTGGAAAGATATTTTACAAAATCAAATAACTAGATATTATATAAAATTAAAAGATAAAAAGTAGTTTTTTTATTTGTGATTTCTCCACAACTTTGTAGTCTGTAAATTAAAAGATAAAAAGTAGTTTTTTTATTTGTGATTTCTCCACAACTTTGTATTCTGTTGTTTAATTTTTACTGTAATACAAACTTAAAAGCTCTCAATACTCCAACTGCTACAACGTGTAGCCGGAGAGAAAAAGAAATGCATTGAATGGACCGACAAGATTCGACTTAGTTTGAAAAAATACCCTTATTACACCCATGGGTTTACAAATTCTCTTTTGTCGACACATCCTTGTGGAAACTAACTAGAACGAATTGGAGGGCAGTCGATTTTTTTATTTTCCTTTTTGAAAATACAAAAGATTTTTTTACATGGAAGGTCCTGATCAGAGCCGCCCACGCCTGTGGAAAAAAAGGCTTAAAAGCAAGGTCTAGTCAACATTTATTAAAAATGATTATCTTATTTTCTTGGCAAAAAAAAAAAAATTGATTGTCTTATTAGCTAGCATGCCGAATATTTTTTTAATAATTAACTATATATAGTCTGCTTGGTTTCTTAATTAAGTAGGTTCAAGTGCTGCGCATGCATGATATATATGCATGAAGGTGCATGCATGTTTCATCCAGTCAAGTTGTCCATGTACATGAAACATAGAATAGTAATTAAAGTCAACAAAAAGAAAGCTTTGTGAATAACTTTTTAAATATGTGTTGTATTAATGTGGTGGTAATGAATAAAATTTGCCCTTTGATTAAAAAAAAAAAACAAGGATAACTTGTCTTGTTCGCTCGCGAGGCAGTGGGGTGAGAATTCCTTAGCCCATGTTGCTTTCTGTGTGTGAATAGAACCGAAATTTCGGACGATGGCACGACTCTTCACGTCAGCGACGTCGCTACCAAAAAAGAGCTTGTGGCGAGCGTCCCTTCCAAGTGCGAAAGTATAGTCTTTCTTGGTTGATGCATGGTAATTGGTTCATGCTTTTTATTCAAAGCCACAGAGACGACCGCGAAGCACCAAATCAAATAGAAGAATTTAAAAGGGCTGACAAAAAACAGAAATAAAAGGATATAACCAATGCACAATAGATGTTGATAATAAAGTTTGTGTTTCGTATATACTGCAACGTGCTTTTATAATAAATTACAAATTACAAATTAGTATGTTGTAGAATATTAAATTTTTTTTCTCGCGAATGCCTCTTCTTTAGAGTCAAGTATGTAGAGTAATTACAGTCTGATCAAACAAAATTAAGAAATTAAACTGTTAAACTCTTTATATTAAATATGCTTGAGAGTAATCTATTTTACTAAAATAATTTAAACCATTTGATTAGATATGCTTTAAATTTTATATATTTTTAATCTATCTTCTAATTATTACTAGACGTAAAGCTTTTTATTTTTTTATATCTAATATTTTTTCTATTATTTTTTCTCTTTTTTTTGCTTGGCTTGTATTTTTTTTAATATTAGAAGGCTCAGGTCTATTTATTTATTTTTTCTTTTCTTTCTTTTTTAATCTCTTTGTTTTTTTCATCTTTCATTCTCTTTTCTTTTTGTTTTTTGTTTTCTCACTCAAATGACTCATGATATCATGTTAAATTTTTTATATTAAGTATGATTGAGAGTAATCTATTTTGTCAAAATAGTTTAAATCATTTGATTATATGTACTATAATAAGTTTTATATCTTCTTAATCTATTTTCTAATTATTATATATGGGGGCTCTTTTATCTTTTTTATCTCTAATATAAACCAGTTATTATGGATGAAAGGCATCTTAATACATGTAGGGATGAGAATAGATCAGGTCCTCAACAGGGGCCTAAAATCTAGCCTATTTTAAGCCTAACCTAGCTTACTTATTAAATAAATTTAGGCCTTTAATTAAGCATATTTAGTTAAATAAGTTGGTCTTTTTTTTGCAAGACCTAGCCTACGAGTCCAATAGGCCGACCTATATATATATATCACAAATACATCAGTTTCATTGTATGATTTTTAATTAATTTATTCTTTACTACTTCTAGTTATTTTCAATCATGTTTGACTTATATATTAATTTTAATATTATTAGTTTATTATTAAATTATATTGTGCTTAGTAAGTCCTTTCAATTCTTGTATATTGTAATTGATAAATTAAGTTATATATTATATATTATAATAGTTCTAAAATATATTTGAGACGTTTAAAACTAAAACGTGAGCCTATTTAAAAGATTTTACTTTTAAATAGGCTAGCAGGTCAGATCAAGTTTTAAGTATACTTAGGTTTGAGGTATAAAAAAAGTTTTATACAAGTTTCAAGTCAAACTTAAACCTTTGATTTATAACATATTTATCTAAAACTTAACTCATCTTAACCTGTTTTCACCCCAAAAATACACGTGATTGATCACGCAACTCCTCAATATTTATGTTTCAATAATATATATAATATTTATAAAAAAAAAGATAAAACTACAAGATAAATATAAAAATTAGCCGTCGCTACCTAACTGGTAGTCTTCGTCGTTTTGTTCTTTTTCCAAGTCTTTGGTATTTTCATCCCCGAAACCCCAAATTCGAAAAAATAAAAATATAGTGGAGATAATTGGATTAAAAATATATTAATAATTATGGATTGCAATTTATAAGCATAAAGGGCTGAGAAGATTCAGAGACGGGGAATAAGGCATGACGCTCCTGTAGGCCGAGCTCAATCGAGCTGGACCACCTTTGTAATTTACGAACTGAGACGCTGACTGCACCATGCCCACAACGCTCGTAATTATTGGGATTTTTGGGATGAAATTGTGTAATTTATGTGATTGTTATTCTAATTTCAATAAATTATTCTCGCCATTACATAAATATTGTCATTCTCATCAGATTAATTAGTTTTTATCAATTGGTTTCTTTCATAAAAAGAATAACTTGTAGTCCAATCTTGTTCAGTAATAAACTAAAAATTAACAAGATTAGATTTGATCCATAGGAATGGGATACTAATCCTATTAATCTAATACTTAGCTATTTTTTTTATAAGAGACAATAATCTATTTCAACTTAATAAATTCAATTAAGATAATAAAAACACTTATGATCAGAATAATTCCAACAACAAGAAAAAATATTTTAGTTATAATCTAAATGATTTAAATTTATAACTTCAAGAAAAATAACACTCAATAAATTTCAACAACACTACATTACAACAATAATTTAGAAACAAATTCAACAAATTTTTATGCAATTATCTCTTCAGCGTCAATTACACTTGAAGCATTTGTCAAAAATAAATTAATTATAATTAAATTAAATTAGTTAATAGGATCAAACTAGATCAAGTGGTCCAACTGTTCAGTATTTTGTTTAGTCCAACATGAAGAAATAGTCTATTTTTTTTTATCTTGAAGGACTATTGTTTATACGGATCGAACAGGTTAGGACCACCTCAGGTCAGATTGGGTTGGACTAGACCGAAGGACTTTTGCACAGCCTTAGCAAACAAGGCCCTCCCATCTAAATTGGGAGGAATTCCTCCCTCTCCCTCCCCTTTCTATTAAAATTCCTCCCCCTTAAAAAAGCATACTGTACATTAAAGTCATCAATTAAGACCGAGCCCTACCCAGTAGGGCTAGCCCTTTAGGCCTAAAAAAATTGAGGGTCAGATTCCTATTTTAGTCTTTAAAAAGGTAAATCAAGTTTAAAAGGGATTGAAAATAAAAGGGTCGACCCTTATAAGCTCTAATATATTTTTAAAAAAACACCATAAAAAACTAAAAAAGTAAAAAAAAAAAAGACTAAAAGATGCGCTCGCCGCTCAGCACTTGTCCAAAAGAGTAAGCAAATGATGCACATGACTAAATGAGTAATAGAGTAAGCAAAAAACCTTATTCTCATCCATTTCAATTTCATTCCTTCAATCAACGTCTTCGTGCTTGGCAGTTGGCTTAGTCAACTCCTTTCATCTTCACCCTCACCTCAGCTCAATCCGGTCGTGCTTCATCTGCTTCACCTCAGTTTGATTCTGAGTTCTCTTATGTGCTTAGTCTGACCGTCCTTCATTTGCCTCAGCTCAATTTAGTCATCTTTCATCTGCTTTGCCTTAGTCCGATCATGCTTACTTTGAGCTTCAACATCTGCTCTTCGCCTCTTCAGCTCATCAGTCTACTCTCCTCATCTGATTAAAAAACAGAGTCTCCTTGTCCTTGATAAATTCCTCATCTGCTTAGAAAACATAGCCTCATCGTCCTCGGCATATTCCTCTCGGCTCAGAAAATAGAGCTTTCTTATCCTTGGTATGTTCCTCATCTGAGTATTCTGTTTATGTATGGGAAATGTGAACTTTTTTGTCAAAATGATAGGGAAACCAAAAATGTAAACATTTTATTTTTTTAAATATTCCTAAGCCATGGTATTATTATTTGTTGCCTTGCCCTGTTAAAATAACTTATACCCATAAAATATATCTTTCTGCATAGCTGTTGAAATTAAGGAAGCTTTGTGAATTTTATCAACTTTTTTTATAGTGTAGTATGTCTTCCTCACA